TCAAAAGCATCAATTCTTCTATGGCCTCCTTATTCACTGTCCAACTTTCACATGCATAAGGGGTTATTGAAAATACCATGGCTTGGGTCAGGCGCACCTTAGTCCTCAAGCTGACATCTCTGCTCTTCAACACTTTAAAAAGGTCCTGTGCAGCAGATTTGCCCAATGCAATACATCATCTGATCTCTTGACTGCTGCTTCCACGAGTGTTGATAGTTGATCCAAGAAGAATGAAGTCCTTGACAACTTCAATCTTTTCTCTGTTGATAAGAATGTTGTTTATATTCTTATAAACAACTTTATAAAGTAGAGTCGCTTTATAAAGTGGTGGTGGTGGTGGCTGTGTGCCATGGAGTCAGTTCCGATTCATAGCCACCCTGTACCGGGTTTCCGAATAAAGTAGAGAGGGGGAAAAGACGAAGACACTGAATGAGACAGATTGACACAATGGTTGCAACAATAGACTCAAACACAAACACAAGTGTGAGGATGAAGCAGGACTGGGCAGTGTTGCATTCAGTTATGCACAGAGTTACTATGTGTCAGAATGGATGCAACAATGTAGCCTAGAAATGGTAACCCATGAATCATTGAAGCTACTTAGCAAACTGCATTATTGTATCTTGTTACATTTCCTTAGTTCTAGGAACCCAGAGCTAAACTGGAAGTAAAATAGATGTTGCTGGTATTGACCAGACTTTGTTGTATAAGGAATGCAGGGAAAACCAAGTAATAGCCAGCCTTCTGACACATCTGACTGTGGTAAAAGCACAGAACACCCATCACTAGCTCTCTCCTACTTATTTTTTCCACAAGGAAAGAAATGAAGAGACACAGAGGGAGGAAGGGATGGTTTACAAGAGCAGGAGGTAATACACAGAGCAAAACAACCAACACAGTCTCTAAAGAACACCTGTCTTCCATACAGCAGGAGGGACAGTGGCTTTGAAGGACACCAGCCCCAGCCCTACTTGAGTGTCTGTCTACACTCAGACACCTAACTGTGATGCCATCAACTATCATGTCTAGAGGGTTAGACATGCATTCTAACCCTCTAACAAATGCACACTGCTCTTTTCAAACAGCTTCTCGCAAGCAGCCCTACCCCACCTCACCCCACCCGAGACCTGTCCAAGGGCCTGGAGTGCACTAGGGGGAGGTCTGAGGCCAGAATGGGGCTTGAGCAATTGCCCACGGTGAGTTCTCCACATGGCTAGCCATCAAGCCTGCTCTGACTCCCAGCAGCCTGATGGGACAGAGCAGAGATGCCCCTATGTTTTCTAGGCTGTAAATCTCACCTGACCACTCCCAGCCCCCTCGTCCTGAGCAGCACTAAGAATGGGCAGTGTTCCTAGATCAGTGGCTGCAGTCAGGACGTGGCTGTCAGCTGCTGTCCAGCTGGCCCCACCCCACACATCTGTCAGTGTAACAGGCTGTGGTGGCCTGTGTGTTGCTGGATGCTGGGCACTTTGCTACTGGTGTTTCATATGCCAGCAGGATCACATGGTGCACAGATTTCAGCCACCTTGAACCTGATAAATTACAGGAGTCCTGGTGTGGTGCAGGGGGTTAATGCGCTGGACTGCAGGGTCATTTTGGACTGCAAGGTTGGCGGTTCAAGTTCACCAGTTGCTCCTCAGAAACCATATACAGGGTCACTATGAGTCACAACAGACTCGACGGCCCTTAACAACAACAATAATCACACGGTTTACTATGCTGGGAATGACAAATTTAAGAGGAATGACGTCACAATAATTATCAAAAAGAACATTTCAAGATCTATTTTGAATACAACGCTGTCTGTGATAAGACAATATCCATATGCCAACAAGGAAAACTAGTTAATACTAGTTGAATAATAAATTATTCAAATTTAAGCCCCAACCTCTACAGCCAGTAATGCAATTGAAGAATTCGACCAGCGTCTTCAGACTATAATTGATTAAACATGCAGTCAGGATGCATGGATCATTACTGGGGACTACAATACGAAGGCTAGAAACAAAGAGGAAGGCTCAGTAGTTGGAAAAGATCACCTTGGTGATAGAAATGCTGTTGGAGATGGCATCGTAGAAATTTTCAACGACTTCTTCATTGTAAATGCCTTTGTTCAACAACAGAAATGGAGACTATATACGTGGACCTCTCCAGATGGAATACACAGAAATCAAATTGACTACATCTGTGAGAAGAGACGATGGAGAAGTTCAATATCATCAGCCAAAACTAGGCCGAGGGCTGAGTATATAATACACCATAGACATGTTCAGGCTGAAGCTGAAAAAATGAAAACAAGTGCATGAGAGCCAAAATACAACCTTGAGTAAGTACATCCCACCTGCATTTAGATATAATTATGTCAGGAATAGATTTGATGCACTGAACATGAATGTCCAAAGACAGAAGAGTTCTGGAATGACATCAAGAATATCATCCATGAGGAAGACAAAGGTCATTAAAGACAGAAAAAAAATTAAAGACCAAAGTGGATGTCAGAAGAAACTCGTAACTTGCTCTTGAATGTAGAGTTGCTAAAGTAAATGGAAGAAATGATGAAGTAAAAGAGCCGAACAGAAAATTTCAAATAGTTCAAGACAAAGTATCACAATGAAATGTCGAAGACCTGGAGCTACAAAACCCAAGGGGAAGGAAACTCAGTACTTCTCAAACCAGACCTTTCTCCTAAACCATTAGTTTGGAAGCTTCACTGAAATATATCCAGCAACGTAACAGCACACCAGTCTTCAGTGACAGATGGATGGTGGCTCAACCTAAGGTGCTTTGACCAGGAATTAAACTCAAATCTCCTGCATGGGAACCAACAATGTCCCATTCAGAGTCTTCAAGCCAGGGTTCCCAGGAGGCATCTGAAAGCGCGTCAGGTGCTTTGGGCAGATTGGGTGAGGGGATAAAACTGCCCTGATTTCTTTCCCTCTGACGTCAATCTAAAAAGTTCCCCTTTGATCTGTTATACAGAGAGGATCAATGTAGCTTTAAAACTCTTGTTCTATTAAGGAAATAAAAGGGGGAGAGTCAGATAAACAAACTGAGGTCACAAAACTTGCTTAAGAGCATTACATGGCTAAACAGTTGCAGGATGAAGACAGCAGCCTGGGCTCCTGGCTTGTTCTGGATGCCTTTCTACCACATCACATCTGACTGCTTACAGGCCGAGGTTCTAACTCGGCACAGTGATATACAAGACCCTACAACATCTCCAGTTGCCTGACCCTCTAGTCTCACTTTCCTGGGTGTCCGAATTCCAGCCACACTCAAATGCCAATTGAATCCACTTCTCTCTCCATGCTTTTGAGCATACTCTTCTCGGAGCTGGAGATCCCCTTCTCCATGCTATCTGAAATGGATCCCAATCTTTCAAGGTTGGTTCCAGGCACCACTGCCTCTGCAAAGCTTTTCCTGGTCTTCGCAGATTTCTATCCCTGCACCTACAAAGCTGTATCAAACTTACTTTGTTCCCATGCCTGTCTCTTCCATTACACCTTTTATATCGTTTCACTGTAACATAGTGCTGGTCAGAAGGTAGGTAGTAAATGGATGCTGGTTAATGGACTAAATGTTTTCATCTACGCCAATCTTCCTTTCAATGCTTTAAAATCCTCTGCAAAGGACCATCAATGGAGAAGAGCCGAGAGCGGGATCCTACCCAGCAGAAACAGAGATGCCTGAGATGGAGGAAGAGATGATGACACAGAGTGATGAAGTGACTGGGGACTTTGGACCCAGAGAGGGAAAGGGACTGTGGGCCGAAAACTGGGGGGAGGAGGGGAAGTGCAGGGAGCGGGTTTCTGGGATATACCCTTTGGGTGGTTGATGATGCATGGAGGGGATTGGAACCATGGCAGTGAGATGATATACGATGGAATGAATGTAAAACTAAAGTTCTCCCATGTAAACCATCATATAATTCACAATAAAACATTAAAAAAAAAATCCTCTGCAAACTGCCACTCATTGGTTCATGCATGCATATATCCACTCACAAATACCTGAATGTCTACAGTGTGCCAGGCATTGGACTGTGTGTGACATGAAAGTGAACTTCCTGGGAAGCTAAAGAACCTTAAACTTGAGGATTCCTCACTTAAACTTCCCAAAGATCTAAACCCGATATCCACCTCCTCCACGTACTTTTATAGTTTTATTTCTTAAAGAGAGCAGACAAACAAAAACTGTACAAACTTCAGGACCCACAAAACCCAGATCTACTCTTGTTGCCAAAGGATACGAAAGTGAACAAGGCAAGCATTCTCTCTCCTCTTCTGAAGATTCCCATTTAGTGGGGAGGATGAACAGCCATTTGTTCGTTCATTCACTCAACAAATGTTTACAATGCAATGCAACGAGTCAGGCCTAGGGAATCCTGATTCCCTGAAGGAGTGGGTCTCTGCTCTTCAAAATAGGGCGAGGCTGCTGTGTTCAGGAAACAGAAAGTCATTTCTGTGATTGGAGCACGGACTGGAAACCAGTGTCATTAAGTACAGAATTCTACCCTGTGGCCTAGCCTGCTGCGGGAGGCAGGGGCTGGAGGAGCTGATTCGAACGTGGTATTTGACCTCAATGAGGGAAAGGGTGAGACCAGGGAGAGGGGTGAACAGAGGAGGCAACTGCGGTGCTGTCATCGGTGACACAGGAAAGCAGACTATGGGGGAGTTACCCCAGAGTTCAAGTTTGCAGTGACAGCAAACTCATTACCACACAAAGCAGTCCATGAATTTAGCAGCTAGATAAAGGACTCCGAGAGTCTCCCTTCACACAGAGAAAGCAGCTCCCTACATCTGCCCAGTATTTGTCTCTATTCCCCTGAACAAGGTCGTTCCTTTCCCCGAGACAGTTGTTGGCTCTCAGAAACCAACGCTTCCGTTCCCACTTCGGATCCTCATTTCCTTCCACGCAATGCCCACAAGGCAGGATCTGGAGGTCCAGGTCGCGGGTCCACCTCCCTCTCCCGCCCGCCGTTTCCATAGTAACTAGCTTACCACTTCGCGAGCCCGGCTGGAGAAGTCGCCTTTAGGTCGAGGGCTCCGGCGAAACAACTCGTCACGGTTGCCATCAGCCCCGCCGCCCACCGCCACTCCCAGCGCCTTGTTCCGCGTCTTCACGGTCTTGACACTGGCCCGGAACAGCAGTGTGATGTCCACCGCCATGTCGACCCGCAACCGCGGTACCCACCGGGTCAGCACACGTCAGCAGCCAACGACCGCGACGCGAGCCCGGCTAGTGGAGGACCGTTCCGTCCCACCTGCCTCCGTCTAGCAACCACAACGTGAGGAGAAAGGTTCCGGCTTCCGTCCAGTAACCGCAGAGCGAGGAGAAAGGTTCCGGCCTCCGTCCAGCAACCACAACGCCAGGAGAAAGGTTCTGGCATCCGCCTGTGTACGGCAGGCAGGCGCGTGATGAGCATCTGCTTGGCGTCCTGGGTCCTGCGATACGTTCACCTGTGCCCTTTGCTTCTCTACGCAAACCCCGACTTGTGTAGCCGCACCCACTCGTCCGGGGTGCTGATTTGGGTACCGTGGGTAGGGACGAGAGGATCCGGAAGCCTGGAGGCTCGTTCCTTTGCTGTGGCTCAGCTTTGATTGAGCCTGGCTCTGGCAGATCTCAGGGACGCGGAGCCGAACCAGGCTTGTCCCTTGACTGTTGCCATGGAGTCCAGTCATGCTCCGGGTGACCGTATGTGTCAGAGTAGACCTGCTCCATGGGGTTTTCCAGGTTATGACCTTTCACCTCCAACCTTTTGACTGGTGTGGCCTTGCAGCATCTGCACTGGGCTGCGAACCACAAGGTCGGTGGTTCAAACCCACCAGCTGCTCCTCGGAAACCCTATGCAGGGTCGCTTTGAGTTGGAACCGACTCGATGGCGCTTAACATCAACAAGTCTAGCATTAAAGGAGCTCTGGTAGCGTAGTGGTTACGAATCGGGCTGTGAACCTTAAGATCAGCGGTTCGAAACTACCAGGCGCTCCGCGGGAGAAAGATGAGGCTTTCTAATCCCGTAAGGATTTACACCCTCGGAAACCCTATACAGGGTCGCTATGGGTCGGAACCGACTCGACGGCACTTAACAACAACAAGAAGTAGGGGAGTAGATGTGTAGGCATCACTGATGGCGTCAAGTGTGACTGCGGTAGTGAAGTTGGCCCAGGATCGGACATTGTTTCGTTCTGCTGTGCATGGGGACTCTATGAGTCGGTTCCGACTCGATGGCACCTGACAACAACAACAGTAGGGGAGTGGATTAAGAGTTGGGTTGCTAACAGCAAGGTCAGCAGTTCGAATCTACCAGCTGCTCTGTAGGAGAAAGATGAGGCTTTCTGCTCCCGTAAAGACTACAGCCTCAGGAACCCTGTACGGGGTCACTAAGATTCAGAACCGACCCTGTGGGACATTATCATCATCACCAGTCTAGCATTGGAGTTACTGTGTGGCCCTGTAGGATAAGCACTGGACTGCTAACCTAAAATCCGTAGTTCACAATCACCAGCCACTCATAGGGAGAAAGATGAGGCTTTCTGCTCCCTTAAAGATTTACAACCTCAAAAACCAATCCAGAGTCACTGTGAGTCAGAACCAACCCTACAGCACTGAACAACAACAATCTAGCATTGCACAATTAATATATTTATGAAAATTCTGGGTCTTGTTTTTGGTATGTGTGCTGTCAAATGGGTTCCAACTCATAGCTGCCTGGTGTATAACAAAACGATACCGGTCCTTCCTATCCAGGCAGCCAACATATATATGAAGTAATGTTAACGATCACTAGCCATTATTGTTCTTAGGTGCCATCGAGTCGGTACTGACTCATAACGACCCTATGCACAACAGAACAAAACACTACCTGATCCTGGGCCAACCTCACAATTGTTGCCATGCTTGAACCTATTGCTGCCAGTCCATCTCGCTAGGGGTCTTCCTCTTTTTCAATGACCCTCCACCTTACCAAACATGATATCCCTCTCCAGAGACTGGTCCCTCCTGACAATACATCCAAAGTATGAGAGACGAAGTTTGGCCATCCTGTCCTCCAAGAAGCACTCTGGCTGCACTTCTTCAAACACGGATCTGTTGGTTCTTTTGGCAGCCCATGGTACTTTCAATATTCTCCTCCAACACCATAACTCAAAAGCATCAATTCTTCTATGGTCTTCCTTATTCACTGTCCAGCTTTCACATCCATATGAGGTTACTGAAAATACATGGCTTGGGTCCGGCACACCTTAATCCTCAAGCTGACATCTTTGCTCTTCAACATGTTCAGCATGTCTTGTGCAGCAGAATTTGCCTAATGTCGTTTGATTTCTTGATTGCTGCTTTCATGAGTGTTGATAGTTGATAGTTGATTGACAACTTCAATCTTCTCTCCGTTGTAAGAATGTTCTTTATTGGTCCAGTGGTGAGGATTTTTGTTTTCTTGACATTGAGATGTAATCCGTACCGAAGATTGTGCTCTTTGATCTTCATCAGTAAATGTTTCAAGTCCTCTTCACTTTCAGCAAGCAAGGTTGTATCATCTGCATATCGCAGGTTGTTAACAAGTCTTCCTCTAATCCTGATGCCACGTTTTTCTTCATAGAACCCAGCTTCTCATATTATTTGCTCAGCATACAGGTTGAATAAGTATGGTGAAAGAACACAACCTTGTCGCACACCTTTCCCAATTTTAAAACATTCAGTGTTCCCATGCTCTGTTCGAACAACTGCTTCTTGTCCAGGTACAGATTCCTCATGAGTACAATTAAGTGTTCTGTAATACTCATACTTCGCAATGTTGTCCATAGCTTGTCATGATCCACACAATCGAAAGCCTTTGCGTAGTCAATAAAGCATAGGTAACCATCTTTCTGATATTCTCTGCTTTCAGCCAAGATCCATCGGACATCAGCAATGATATCTCTCATTCCACAGCCTCTTCTGAATCCAGCTTGAACCTCTGGAAGTTCTCTGTCAATGTATGATTGTAGCCGTTTCTGTATTACCTTTAGCAAAACTTTGCTCGCTTGAGATATCAAAGAGATTGTCCAATGATTTCCACATTCCGTTGGGTCCCATCTCTTTGGAATGGGCACAAATATGGATCTCTTCCTATCAGTTGGCCAGATAGTTGTCTTCCAAATTTCTTGGCAGAGATGAGTAAGTGCCTCCTGTACCGCCTCACTTTCTTGAAAGATTTCAATTTTGATTCCATCAATTCCTGGTGCCTTGTTCTTCGCCAATTCCTTCAATGCACTTTGGACTTCCTCCCTGAGTATCATTGGCTCTTGAAATGGTTGAAAATTAACCATTTCCTTCTGGTACAATGACTCTGTATATTCCTTCCATCTTCTTTTGATGCATTCTGCATCATTCAATAATTTCCCCAGAAAATCTTTCAATAACGAAAATTGAGGCTTGAATTTTGTCTTCAGTTCCCCCAGCTTGAGAAATGCTGAGCATGTTCTTCCTTTTTGGTTTTCTGATTCCAAATCTTTGCATATTTTATTATAGTATTTGGCTTTAATCTTCTCATGCTGATCTTTGAAATTTTCTGTTCAGCTCTTGGACCTCCTCATTTCTTTCATTTGCTTTAGCATCTCTACACTGGAGAGCAAGTTTCAGAGTCTCTTCTGACATCCATTTTGAACGTTTCCTTCTTTCTTGTCTTCTTAATGACTTTTTGCTCTCTTCATGTATGATGTTCTTGATGTCATTCCACAACTCTTCTGGTCTTCGGTCTTTAGTGTTTAATGTATCAATCTGTTCTTCAGGTGATCTCTAAATTCAGGTGGGATAAATTCAAGGTCATATTTTGGCTCTCGTCAGCTTGTTATAATTTTCTTCAGCTTCAGTTTCAATTTGCATATGAGTAATTGATAGTCTGTTCTAGTCTGCCCCTGGCCTTGTTTTCACTGATGATATGGAGCTTTTCCATCTTCTCTTTCCACAGATGTAGTCAATTTGACTTCTATGTGTTTCATCTGGTGAGGTCCATGTGTATAGTCGTCTCTTATGCTGTCTAAAGAAAGTATTTGAAATAACCAAATCATTGGTTTTGCAGAATTCTATCATTCGTTCTCCAGCATCATTTCTATCACCAAGGCCATATTTTCCAACTACTGGTCGTTCCTCTTTGCTCCCAACCTTTGCATTCCAATCACCAGTAATGAGCAATACATCTTGATTGCATGTTTGATCAATTTTAGATTGAAGAAGTTGGTAGAATTCTTCTATTTCTTTCTCACTGGCTTTAGTGGTTGGTGCATAAATTTGAATAATAGTGATATTAACTGGGCTTCCCTGTAGGCGCATGGATATGATCCTATCTCTTACAGCATTGTACCTCATGACTGATTTGGATGTGTTCTTTGTGATGTTGAATGTAACACCATTCCTTTTCAATTTTTCATTCCTTGCATAGTAAACCATGTGGTTGTCAGATTCAAGTGGCTCTTGATCATATGGTATCTCTCAGTAATGCCTAAGATGTAGATGTTTATGCATTCCATTTCATTTCTGACAACTTCCGATTTTCCCAAATTCAAACTTTGTACATTCCAGTTTCTGATTTTCAATGGATGTTTACAGCTGTTCCTCTTCATTTTGAGTTGTGGCCCATCAGCCAATGGGAGGTCTGTGGGCTTTTCTCCCACGGGGTTTACTCCATTCACGTCATCATGGTCAACTCTACTTTGAGGTGGCATCTCTTCCCCAGTCGCATTCTGAGTGACTTCCAACCCGAGGGGCTCATTTTCCAGCACTATATCTGACAGTGTTTCTCTGCTATTCGTAAGGTTTTCAGTGACTAGTGATTCCGAAGTAGTTCATCACTCTTTCTTCCTAATCTTGCCATTGTTGATGTTGTCAGGTGCCATCGAGTCAGAACCGACTCATAGCGGCCCTATGCACAGCAGAACGAAACAATATCCGATCCTGGGCCAACCTCACTACAGCTGCCACACTTGAGT